AAAGCTTTTTAATGGCAAATGGAATATAGGTGGGACTAAGTCATTTGGCTGAATTTATTGGTATGATCGATGTTACGGTGTAGGTGTACTGATCATTACTGATTTGTGTTGGTTGGAGGTACAGGTTTTGTCCAAATGTGTCCCCATGAGAAAACCTGAAAAAAATGTAATTCATGCTGAACTCCTTAATGACGATGTTGTTTGTGTGTATGGTAGTGGGTGGTGAATGGGAAGAGTCGGAGAACGTCAACTCCTCGCAGGCGTTCTATCAGCTGCAGGGTCTGACGCCGGGTGTTCAGTACCACCTGCAGATCCGGCCCGGAAACAACTCCTGGGAATTCAAAACGGATGGACCAGGTACAGGCTAGTAACAACCATCACTGGATTGTTTTATTCGTTACATGCTCTCACGTGTTGTCTCTTTCTCAGAGCTGCATGAGTTGCCCAGCAGCTTTGCGACTCAGGGCTGGTTCATCGGACTCATCAGCGCCATGGTTCTGCTGCTGCTGGTGCTGCTCATTCTGTGCTACATCAAGAAGAGCAAGGGAGGAAAGTATTCAGGTAACACTCCCACAGTTTGCTGAAAAAAATAATTATGTGTCTCTCGTTCTTGGTGATAGAAACCTTCTGTGGTTTGATGTTTTTGACTTAGTCCCGGTTGTAATTAAGGTAGTTGTGGTCCAGAATCACATATATCTCTTTATATATAAATAGCTATACATTTTAGATGCTATATTTAGATTTTAGATACATTTTAGGGTTCATCCGAACATGAAAAAATATACACAAGCTATAAATACAATTTATGAAAACACACTTTCATCGCTAATGTTTGATGATGATGATCAACATCAGGTAGTATTATTGATTACAAGACTGTGTTCTTTACTCCATGCAACGAAATTGGCTCTCTGTAGCATAATGCTGAAAGTCCCGATCCTTATACAGAAGGCCAAGAATGGCAGTATCATTTGAAAATTTTACAAAAATATTCCCAGGATGGTGACTCCTATACTCATTAGTGTACAGTGTAAATAAAAGTGGTGAACATACATACCCTTGGGGAACACCAATACTA